GACACAGGGAATGCCCCTCACCCCAAAGTCTTCAGACCCCGGGGTTCCACCAGTCTGTCTCTCTTCCTTACCAAACCCAGTCTCACGATCTCATTCCCGCTTGAGTGAAAATTTTTCCATCTAGATCCTTCTCCATCAACATAGTCCCTACAGTGACCCAGAAGCCTTTTCTTAAATGTCACTAATCTTTCTAAACTTTGTCCTGTTCCTTCCTCCCCCGTGTTTACACTCCCATGGCTGCCCACTAAAAGCCCATACACTCTAAATCAATCCTGGCTCGTGTGACCTAGCACAGTTTGCTGTTTGTAAGACAGGTGTTCGCTGCATAGGCTCTTCCTGTGTCTGTTCCTCCTGGGGTAGGATGACAGGTGTGTCCCTCCATGCCTGGTAGTCTAACGCCATTTTGATTGCCCATTCATTCATCCTTCGAGTTTAGGGAGCACCTCTGGAATGCTAAGCACTGTTTCAGGCTCTGGAATATAGGGATGAGTGAAACAAAGACCTCTTGCCCTCGGGGCCCTGCTGGGGAGAAAGGTGGTGGGTGCCATGTTGGGTTGAGGGGTTAAGAATCCTTGTTATCACCCGGCGGTGGCGGTGGTGGTACACATCTTTAATCCCAGTTGGATCTCGGTGAGTTCGAGGCCAGCCTGATCTTCAGGGCTAGTTCCAGGACAGCCAGAGCTTTTACACCTGTCTCGAAATCCACACACACACACACACCCCTCCCAGCCCCAAAAAGGAATCCTTGTTATCATTATGGTGCTCAGAGTTGATCTCACTAACTAAGATAAGGGAGAAACCATACCAAACTTCTGGGAAAGGAGAACAGACAGTGTAAAGGCCCTGTGGTAGAACTTTTCTGGGCCAGAGGACCAGAGATGAGCCCCGAGATGGGATGGGTGGGAGCACACAGGGTTCAGAGAGAAAATGGAGCCCTTGAAGGCTCCAAGCAGAGAAGAGGGGTTACCAGCTGCGTTTCCCAGCTGCCATAGTTTCTCTCTGCCTGTGTGTAGAGAGACACCTAGGAAGTGACCCACTCAGTAAATGCTGGTCCAGCTCAAGATAAATTTTAAAGATGGATCCTATAAAATGGGCTTCCTGGTGGTTTCAGATGGGCCTTAAAAATAGGCTACTCCTGGTGGTGGGGGTGCTGGTGCAAGCAGGTGACCCCAGGATCGTGAGTTTCTTGCTAGCCAGGACCATGTAGCCAGATCCCATCTCAAAAAACAAACAAAATGCTGGGCAGTGGTGGTGCATGGCTTGAATCCCATCACTCAGAAGGCAGACACTGTTCATCCCACAGGGGCCTGAACATCCCATCTTTTCTTTTTTGTTTTACTTTTGTTTGTTTTTTGTTTTTTTTCCAGACAGGATTTCTCTGTGTAGCCCTGGCTGCCCTGTAACTCACTCTGTAAACCAGGCTGGCCTTGATCTCAGAAATCCGCCTGCCTCTGTCTGCCTCCTCGTGAGTGCTGAGACTAAAGGCATGCACCACCACCCTGCTGCCTGCTCTTTTATTTAGAACTAGAAACTTAGTCTGGAGGTCTTGAGGCACTGAGGTTCTTGTTATTTGTATTTTTTCGATTATTACTGCTTTGAGACAGGGCCTGCCTGTGTAACACAGGTTAACTTGGAACTCTGGCCTCAAATTCAGGTTCTCCATGTTTCTGCCTCCTTAGTGTTGGGATTACAACTGAAGGCCACTGACTAACTTGTAGCATTTATTTGGGATGTGTGTGTGCGCGCATGTGTATGTGTGTGTGTTTGAGAGCGAGAACACGAGAGCAGGATACATGTGTGGTGGTCAGAAGAGAACTTTTCATCCACTATGTGTGTCTCAGGGATCGAACTCAGGTTGCCAGTCTTGGCAGCAGTCACCTTTACCCACTGAGCCATCTCACCAACCCTTCACTGACACCGTTTCAAACCCATTTTGTTGTCTTTAATGTGCTTGCCGCCTAGTTCCACCTAGTTCCACGTACTGCTCTAAGTCACATTTGCAAGTGTGTGTGATCCCAGTGCTCGGGAGAGTGGGGCAGGAGGATTGAAGTGAATTCAAGGCCAACTGGAGCTAAACAATGAGGCCCTGACTAAATAAGCAAAGCAAAACCTCTGCCTGGGCTGAAACAAATGCAAACCCTGCCAGATGTGGCCCGTGGGGACAGGCACTGACCCTGTGACCTGGCCTGCAGAGAGTGTCAGATCTTTTACTGGAATTGTCCCAGGGGACCCTGCAGGGTGGCTTAAATGTCTCCATTTTACACATGGAAGAACTTGGGCTTCAAAAGGTCATCCGGCCTGGAAGCAACAACTGGCAGGAAGTTCGCATCTCTCTGTGTTGCAATTCTGCTAAAAAGTACTTATGTTTCTGCCGTCCCTCTGATAGGGCTGGAACCCAGGGCTTCCCATGGGTTATTCAGGGGCTCTATCACTGAGCCCCGCCCCAGCCCCTCACGGTGGGGGGGGTATGGGGGGGGATTCTAGGCAGGGGCTCTATCACTGAGCCACGCCCCCAGCTCCTCACTGGGGGATTCTAGGCAGGGGCTCTACCACTGAGCCACGCCCCCAGCTCCTCACTGGGGGATTCCAGGCAGGGTCTCTATCACTGAGCCACACCCCCAGCTCCTCACTGGGGGATTCTAGGCAGGGGCTCTACCACTGAGCCACGCCCCCAGCTCCTCACTGGGGGATTCCAGGCAGGGTCTCTATCACTGAGCCACACCCCCAGCTCAGGAGTGATTCCAGGCAGGGGCTCTGTTGCTAAGAAAACCTCTCCCCAGCCCTCATAGATCTGCTTTGCCGTAGAGGATGAGACCCTTTTGGTCAAGGTGGGCTAGGTTTGAGTGGTGAGGCTTATTTGGCATCACTGGTTGCCACCGTCCATCCTTCCTGGCACTGTCTGTACTTGGTATTGTGCTCTGTCAGATTCCCTCATCCGGGCCACCAGGGTTCTTCTTTAGTAAAGATTATTTTTAAGTGTTTTGGTGTTGTGCCTACATGAGTGTGTACCATATGTGCACAGTGTCTGAGGAAGGGCTGGAGCTATAGATGGTTGTGAGCCACCCTGTGGGTACTGGGAACCCAACCCAGGTCCTCAGGAAGAGCAACAGGTGCTCTTGACCTCTGAGCCACCTCTCCAGTCTCTGAATATTGTATTTATATTTATTTGAGACAAGGTCTAGCCATGTCTCCCTGACTGTCCTGGAACTCACAGAGATCCATCTGCTGGGATGAAAAGCTCTTGCTACCACACCTTGGTTTCCCTGAGTTCTTGTGTGTGAGGAGGCCAGGACTGTACACACTCACCACTGCACGAGGGAGGGCCACTCTGCCCAGCTCTCTCTCCAGATGGTTGTGAGCATTTGCTCATGAGCTGTGTCCTTACCTCGGGGCTCACTGTCAAAGGCCACTTGTAATTATCAGGCCTCTTTGTTTGTTTACCTAGTTCAAGTTTCCTGTGGACCTATGCAAAAGTGCTCTTTAAGCATTCCTTAGTCCTCGTAACACCCCTGGAGGGTGCGACACTGTCATTATGTCCTCATTACCCAGCTGGGAAACTGAGGCACAGAGACGTAAAGAGCCCGGATTTAAACCCACACATTATTGTGCCCTGGGTCATCGTGGAGTACTTCCTCCCAAAGCCAAGACACAGGCTTCCTTGTTTCTTTTCTTTTTTTTAGATTTTATTTATTTATTTATTATGTATACAACTTTCTGCTTCCATGTCTATCTGCACACCAGCAGAGGGCACCAGGGATGGTTGTGAGCCACCATGTGGTTGCTGGGAATTGAACTCAGGTCCTCTGGAAGAGCAGTCAGTGCTCTTAACGTCTGAGCCATCTCTCCAGCCCCTCCTTGTTTCTGTATTTGTTCAAAGTGGGGAGACAGGTACTGGAGAGATGGTTCAACAGTTAATGCAGAGAGAGGACTTACTCCTTTTGCAGAACTGCCTGTAACTCTGATTCCAAGGGATCAGCCGCCCTCTTCAGGCCTCCATAGGTACCTGCACAAACATGCCGTACATAGATGCAGACACATAAACATATGTTTTGGGGACTTTTTTGTTTGTTTGTTTGTTTGTTTGTTTAATGTGAGCAATTGGGGGCTGGAGAGTTGGCTTGGTAGTTAAAAGCACTGGCTGCCTTTCCACAGGACCTGAGTTCAAGTCTAAACGCTCACACGGCAGCTCAGTTGTCTGTAACTCTAGTTCCAGGGGACCCGATACCCTTTTCTGGATTCCACGGGCACCAGGCACACAGACATACGTGTAGGCAAAGCACCCATTACACGTCAAATAATTTTTTTGTTTGGTTTGGTAGTTTGAGACAGGGTTGCCTTGGCTGTCCTAAAATTTGCTTTGTAAACCAAGCTGGCCTTGAACTCATAGAGATGCACCTGCCTCTGCCTCCCGAGTGCTGGGATCAAAGGTGTGGACCACCCACAATATCTAATAATAACAATAATAATAACAAACAAATCTAAGTAAAATTAAAGCCAGGCACAGTGGTGCCCACCTTTATCTTAGCATTTCTTTTCCAGGGGCAGGTGGGTCTCTGTGAGTTCAAGGACAGCCAGATCTATGTAGAGAGAGCCTGTCACAAAAAGAACAAAAATAAATACATAAAAATAAAGTGGGAAAATAGGAGAAGGGTCTGGTAAGACCCCATCCTCGAGGAGATATTGGCAGTTGCTGAAGGAGGGAGAGCCATTTTCTTGAGTGGGCTTGGCTC